CCCACACCTGGGCTGCGCCGAGTGCTCCGGGCTCCGCGTGGAAGGAGCATCCTTACTGCCAGTTTGGTGCTGCTATCTGGTGCTGGTAATCGGCTCATAAAAGGTCCTTCCTTTCCTTTTATTTTTGTTAGCAGCGCCGTTAATTGCTATCGTTTGTTTTTTGCAAAGTTTTAGCTAAAGAGCGCGATTTCCCCGTTCTGTACTTCCCCGAGCTCTCAGACGTACCGCCGGCGTCCATTAACCTACAGCGGGAACATCCCGAGCCCGTGGGTAGTTACGGTGCTCCCTGACATAGAAATGCCTTTGAGAGCAGAAGGAGGAGGCTGGGCTGCTTTCTGTGCCTTCCTTGGGGCGGTGGGAGCAACCAGCGGGCTGGCTTTCCTTTCCTCCCGTGTCCTTTGTACGGTCCTTCCCCCTTCCGAGCTCGGTGTGCATGGAGGCAGCAGCGCAAAGCACAGGAAGGATGGGCTGGTGGAGAAGGTGCACAATTAGGCCTCAGGAGTTTTGGACTCGTTCAGTGACTTGCCTTGCTAGCTGGTTTGTGACTGGGGTAGAAATCGCATTTCTCATCGGTGTTTCAGATCCCCATTTGTAAAACAAGGGCGTAGATTCCCAAGCCTCGCTAGCAGTAGGGTTGTGCTTCTGCTCGGGGTGACTGAAGGCACTGAGAGCACGCTTGGTATCCTATAACTGGTTATAGGCATATTGCAGGCTGGTCTTTCTCTGCGTAGTCAGGATTGTGTTAGTTTGAAAAAGGATCGTATGTGATGCTTCGTGACTGAAAATCAAGGAAGATGCAATTTCCTGTGTTCAAAGCACAGGCAAACTTTTCCTAATTCATTAGTTATTACCGGCTTTGCCAAGGTTCTGAGGGAAGTGGTCTTCCACAGCACTTTGCTCTCAGATGGAAACAGTTGCATTTCTATGGAATACTTGTTTCTGTTGTGTTTGGTTGTTCTTTTCATACTACTCGTAACTAAACGCAGCTTTTTTCCTGTTGGTAGCTGCTGAGGAAACCTCTCTTCTCCATGCTAACTGTTGACATGGAAAACAAGGAAAATGGTTCTCTGGACGTCAAAAAGTAAGTGATTCCTTAAAGTTTGTTTTATGCAAATAGCATGTGAATTTTGATTGTATTTTTCCATTGACTTAATGTGGATGGCAAGGGTGGGGATCTCCATCTTTGCTTATTTCTACCAGTCTGCGTTCTCTATTAGTTTTATTGCATTTCTACTTTGGAATAAAAGAATCTAGGGCACTGAAGTGATTTAAAGTGGTATGCAGGAGGATAGTACAGCAATGGAGAGGTGCGGAAGCTAATAAGTTGGTAGTATTCCTTTTTCCATTGTTTTCTTATCTCAGCTGGAGACCAAAGCGAGTGGTAGCACAGCAACCAATACTCTGCCCATGTTCACCTGTTTGCTGTTGTGGGGAAAGCTCCTCTCACCATCCACATTGATGATGAGGTGAAATTCCTGAGGAAGGACTTGCAAAAGTCCAAGCAGCAAATGGTGCCTGAGGTGTCTGTGCTTTCTAGAACCAATGCCTGATGGGGAGAAGTGTCCCATGTATGTGTCTCCTCTCATTCTTTTTATCTCCCTGCTGACTGTCCAGCCATCCTAAGCTGAGAAGCAGCACGTGCCCCTTCAAAGCAGATATTTTATGCTATTTGCTGGAGAAGCCCCAAACAGATTCCTTCTTCAGACCTATGGTGGTAATAAGGGAAAGAAAGACATGATGTACGCTGCTCTGCAGGTTTCTTCAGTGTGGTGGGCTGCAGGCTAAGGGATAGGAACTGTTTTAGATGTATTTCTTTATCTTTGAAGGTCATCAGTTCTTCAGTTGGGATCGCCAGTCCTAATCTAACTTACTGTCTGAAAAGTGAAGTTTTGTGTGGGAAAAACAGCTAAGTTCTGTTAGGCTTATAAATACTCTGTTGATAAGTAACACTAAGAAAGGAACTAGAGAGAGCTTGTCACCTGTCCTGCCAGACTGCAGCACTTCTATGAAGCTGCACCTCATTCTTGTCTTTCACATCCCTTTGCCAGGAGTTGTCCTTGAAAATGTGATGATGCTTAGGTTCCCCAGCACCAAGTAATGTAAACAACAACAATAATAACAATAATAGTGATGGTCTCTTTGGGATACTGTTGAAATGCATGATTATGATACAGCATCAAAAGATCTGCTGGTAGCCAATAAAATTTGTATTTTTCCCCATTAACTCAAGAGTTTGGCTATACCACACCAGTGTAAAAAGTGTTTCCCTGTTAAGTGACTAAGCATAGATTATGCCTCTCAGAAGCCACCTTCAGTTACCTGTTTTTCTTCTGCACCTGAGACTCCATGGCAGAGGCGAGAAGGGAAGCAGTGAGAACAAGGACAGCTTTAATCTTTTTCCCCCAAGGCTTAGGTGATAAAGACTCAACTACTAATTGCAATGGTGGCTTTTTAAATCTGGTTGTGATTATAATTAAACAGAGCATAAGCTGTGGTTTCTAAAGAAAAATATATAGTATGTATGTGTGCCTATCTACTAAGGAAGTATTTGGCACTTCCTTGAAGAGGTTATAAATAGCTTGGATAAAATCTGTTTCTTCACAGTTATATTTTTCCCAGGCCTTACTGCTTCGGCCACATGATGGCAATAAAGGTACAGGGACAGTGGCAACCAGAAGACAAGTCAAATCTTTGTTTGTTGTTAGCACACCTAGTATCTGATTATAAAGCCTAACATACTAGTTCTCTTAAGTTTTTAGGGCATCCAGAATGTCTGGCATAAACTGGTATATGGCTAAACAGTGGCTCTTATATATTCCCTTTTCTTGTCTAAGGAATAGAGCCATATGCAACAGCAAGGCAAGGAGAAGGCTGTCTAGAAGCCAAATGAGCATCTGTGTGGGTAGGTGATTTAAAATCCAGCCAGCCCCTGACAGTACACCACATGCCTGTGAGTTTTCTGCAGCTATAACTGTGGAAATGGACTCTGCTTGAGGTCCAACATGATGCTATTCCAAGTAGGAACTTGCCATTGTTGCTGGGGTTAGGAATGACTAAGGTGGAGCCCTTGAAGATGTTGCAGTTGGGCCTAGGATGGGACTAGACCAAGCACTACGTTCCCTGGCAGTAAAAGAAGAGCTGTGTGAAGAATCAATGCTCTTGGGCTGAAATACATTGTGGGGGGGGGATCATAGTCAACTTGAAATGAAAATGCTTTGGGAAGTAAGTAAAATACAGTTAAGTATTTTGACAGATTGAGTCTTTCATTTACTGTTTAGGAATAATTGAATTGTTCTTTTAGCTTTTTTTTTTTTTAATATTGAGTTTTTTGGGGTTTAGTTTATTTTTGATTTTTAGTTAAAGATGTGTCATTGTGAGTATCTGTGTTGGGGGGAAATCCAGATATAAATATAATTCTTCAAATCTTGGTCCTACAAATATACAGAGGTTTTGCATGGTGCTTTTCACAGCGTTTTACTTCTTAAGCCTCAGAATGGGTACAACACCAAAAAAAAATCAAAAACCTTCAGGTGCAGCTCTGATAAAGTTGGATAGTCTTATTTAAAATTTTGCTGAGTGTTGCCTTTCTCTGCAATCCCAATCGTAAAGTTGTTACTTCATGAGCAAGAGCAAGAACCTCTGGCCTTTGCTCCTTGCACTGAAATATGTATATACTCTGTGATAATTTCAAGAAACTGCTTTTAAAAGGTCAACTACAAATACAGTGTGATATTGAGGCTGCAACGTGAGTCTTTGGAGCCAGAATTTTGTTGTCATATTGACAAGTGTGTTTCAAGAATTAAGAGAGAAGTAAAAATCATGCTCACCTTGTTCATGTGGTCATAGAAATAGAAATGTTGTAGAAATGGTGATCTAAAGCACCTTGTGTGATTCTACTTTCATCTCTTTGTGGCTGGTTTTAAAAAAATAATTGTCCCTTGAGTTTGCTGAAAGACATACAAGTCTAGAAGGAACGGAGGTGGTGAACGCTGGAAGAGGAAAATTTGAAGGACAGAACAAAAACTTTGTCAGAGGAGTATAATCTAAGTTTACTTTCCATCTGGTACTCTATGGTTTTGTAATTTCTTCATTAACATTATGGTTAAACATCTGACCCGTAAGCATGGGATGTCTAGTTGGAGAAGCATCTTGTCCAAATTTATTTTCTACTGAATGACATCTTGTTCTTCATCCTACTACATTGCTGTAGGGCAGGCAATCAAGCTCATCACATGTTTCACCACGAGTTTGCAGATACACAAAGGTTATCTGAGATAATATGATGGCAAGCTGAGGATAAGAAATGAAGGGTTAGAGTAGCAACATGAATGATTGGTTGGTCTTGCTACTGTGGAAAGTAATTGCTTAAGGTCAATCATAGAAAGAATCTGTTCTGATTGTGTTAAACAGATATTTTCTTGCATTCTTAGTTGTTCAGAAAGTCCCAGGATTTCTCCACAGGTAAGTCAGAAAGAAATTTTGGAGGACTCTCTATATTGAGCAATTAATGCAATCATTGGTGCCTCTATTTTCTTGTTTTATGAGCCAAAGATAATTTCCAGTACTGTAACCCATGTTACAATATAGCACAATCTCCTCTTGGAGAGGAGTAATCTGCATACTGCAATTCTACGTAGATGCTTGATAGCTCAAATCAAACTACAGAGGTAGCCTCTGTTCTGCAAAGGCAGCGCACTCATGGGCAAAGCTCCTGATTGACTGCCTTTGGCTGATGTGAATATCCATATTCTTCTTTTCTGAAGGGAGGAGTATGTCACTTGTCCCTGGTATCAGGTCTTTGAAGTGGAACAGAAGAGCAGTGATTCTTCTCTATTGGAGTGGTGGCAGGTGTGTTGAGGGGTACTATTCCTGGAAGAACAGATAAGGGAACATACATGGGTTGTCTACAAAGAAGCAGGAGGGACTCTACAGACAAGTAGTGATTATTTGTTTGGGTTTGTATGTTGCAGTTCAGTAGAAAATGGGAGACCTCCAGATCCTGCTGACTGGGCTGTTATAGATGTTGTGAATTATTTCAGGACAGCTGGATTTGAAGAACAAGCCAGTGCTTTTCAAGAACAGGTAAGTTTGCTAGGAAACACTTTGATTGCTGCCACCTTCTCCCATTGCACGTTTTTGCCATGGGCCCAGTGATACCTTGTTAAATGGAAAAATCCCACATTAGGTGATTGGGTATAAAAACCTGTGGGAGTTGAAGATTGTCATGTTACAGGATCCACATAATGGGATGAAGTATGTTTGAAATGTCATCTGAAAGGTGAGGAATCTAAACAAGTTTTCTCGCTTGGACTGGTTTAAAATGTGGATGGTAATTTCCTTCTTCCTAAGTATACTGTGCAAATACTCTCATCCAAAGGTTCCTAACACAGTAATTACTTTTGAGGATATCGAATGAAAAGGGCTGCTGTGTTCCACAGAACTTGACAATATATGTGAACAGGGAAAGAGTAAGTTGGCAATTAAAGGGAGTAATCTTCTCAGGCACAGGAGCAGCATGTTTGTAGGACTTCCAATCTGATGAAGCGACTGAGGCTTGCAGAAGGGTGGTTGTAAGTATCAGGAAGACCTGGAGAGTTTAGATCCTTGAACTGAACAAAAGCTATGAGTTGGAGAATTTTCCATCTGCCTTTATATGTCAAGGAAAGGCTATTGGAGAAAAATCAGTTAAAGGGACAGCCATGGACTGCTCTCCACAGAAAAACAAGTGTGGGAGCATGAATCAAGTTTCAGAAATGATTTTTACAACTTTAGCTTTTGTGGTATTGACCCCAGAGTTAGGTTCAGTATATGGTGTTAGTCTCAGTATAATAAGTGCCTACATTATAAGCACACTTTCTGATGCTAATGAATGGCTTCTTTTGGCAGTTTTGCAAAGAGCACAGCTGTTGTATAGCTCCTTGGTAGCTCACCTAATCAGCACACTGTTAAAGTGCGTTAGTGAGGAAAGATAGGGGTGTTTGCTTACTTGGCTTGTGGTTCACTTGTTCCATAGGGACGGATCATAAAACTGCAGATTATCAATTCAGTACATTCTGTAATATATCTGTAGGTTTGTGTGCAAGTACCAGGAAATTAATTGTCATGATAGTTTGGATGGGGCTTTGGGCAACTTGGTCTAGTGGAAGGTAACTGTGCCCACAGCTGGAACTCTAGGTGATCTTGTAAGATCTCTTCCAACCCAAACCCTTCTGTGTTTTATTCCATGAACATTTTTGTTTAGTTATTAAAATGGATGGCTTGACTTTCCAAGGCCTGAGCCAGAGTAAGATATGGCCAACTTTGCTGGAGAACAGTACATCTAAACTGAAATAGAGTTACTGTTGATCAGAATAATCTTGCTGACCTTCTGCACCTGGGCTGTGAAGTCCCATCTGATTGGAACTGATGAGTATAAAGAAGTATCTAAATTTAGCTCTTTGTTCTGGGAGGTGAAAAGCCTGGTGCTGGCTAATTTTCTGGCAGAAGGCAGAGAGGTTTTTGCTGCAGCTGCTAATAATTTTTGAGAATTTGAAGATGGGTAAACAAACGAATAAAGCCTAAGTTTATCAACTCCTTAATACCAGCAATTATGTCTCCTCAACAACCCTGGAAACATGACATAAGAAAAACACAAGCCAAGTAATTGCAGCCTCTGGGTTTTTTCCTTATTCTGACAGATACCTCTGACTTTCATCACGTGCCTTAACCTCTCTAAATACCAGCTGGCTTGTCAATAGTACTGCAGTAATTACTACTGATCTTGCAACAGGAAAGTGAGGCTAGCTCAGGAGTTCTGGCAACGCAATTTGCAACAGCCTGGTGGAAAATAGCATGTAGAACTGACAAGTACAGGTTTTGTTAGTATTCTGCAGTGAGGGCAAGTGGCTTCAGGAGGAAAGATGCAGTAAGTTTATTTTTAGCAACATATTGCCAAGGCTCTGCTAGGTTAGATGGGCAGTAAGCTGCCGTAGGCAGAAATATGGTTTTGGTTCTGCTACTAACTTCACTTTATGCTAAAGCTTTGGAGAGAAGCTGACAGGTGCCACCAAGATATAGCCAGGAGATGTGAGATGGACATTTGAGGTGGAAATCATTGCCACTCCCTTCCACTTCTATTTACTTAGCAGCATAGAGAGCAGCGAGTGCTCTCCAGGCAAGAACTGACCCTTCCCTTCTGCTTCAGGAGCAATTCTATCTCTATCCTCTTAACAGCAGTGTTGTTTTGTTTCCTCTGCGCTGTTTAGAAGACACTAATTTTAACTCTGTATACTTATGGTATTTGTTATCAGGATCTCACAGGCTCTCCAGGTATGGCAGTCACAAGGTGTGCAGCTGAAACTGTGGCCGTCTCTGGTTTTAAATGCCATTTGTTCTGCAGCTTGTCTGGGTCTCAGAATCTGAAATTTGTTTGATCTGCTACTGCCATGGATATATACTGGAAGGGGAACGAGGCTGTAAGTGGTGAAGGGAAGTATCCCAGTTCACCTACAACACTGAGAAATTGTTTTCCACTGAACTGTTTTAGAAGGGTTAGCACAACCATTTTCTTGCAAGACATCCATAGTTCAAAATGTAATCTCAAGAAATATTAATATGTTCAGCTTCTACGTAACAGTAAGTCCACACTTCTAATGAATCTAAATCTGGACTCACATGACGCAAGTGACTCAAAGGATTTTGTAAGATGTGATTTTTTTTTTTCTTATACTTTTAAAGGAAAACGAAAAAAACATTTTAAGGACTACAGAATGTTTTTAGTAACTGTATTGTAAGTGCTGGTCGGGCATGATGAGTATATGATGGTTATACATTATTCTTTCTTGGAGTTTCATTGATGTCAGCAAGCTGTAAGAGCTCTCTGAAAAGATTCAACTGGAAGATGTTGCCCAATATCCAAAACAATAACATCAAGCACATTTTTCCAGGCAAGCCAAGAAGTTGGGCACAGAGGATCACTGAAGAGAGTGGCAGACCAGATGTGGGTGAGAGTGTGAACGTCTTCAAAGAACTGTTATCTGCAAGTACATGGCTGATATTTCTCTAGGAGCCTTGGGAGCACAGGGGGCTTTGGCTTGCTCGAAGATGGATTCCTTGTGACGTGTCCTGAGATGTGGTAGTGCAATGCTTGACCCTTCACTACTGCCACACAACTTCTTACCATTAGTACTGTGTTATGCAGCTCAGCCTAAGGAATCCAATGATAGTTTGCTGGCCCTTGCTGCAGTGCCTTACCAGAAGGGAAACAGGTTTGATATTAGCTGGTATCTGCTGCCGTCTTCTAGCAGATCCACGGCATGGAGGAGCATGTGAGCATGCTGGCTGGTATACTTTCTTGTCAGCTGTGATGTAGAACACTGCAGTTCTCAGTCACTTGGAGAAAGAGCAGACTTGATTCTTGACTGGTCGTGTGGGGATTTGCTGAAGACGATAAATTGACTATTGCAGCTGAGGAATTACTGTTAGCTCTAGATGTGCAGAGGGATGCCTCTCTAGATGGCACTAAAAGGGCATGACAAAAGCTGGCATTGAAGTTGCACCCTGAAAAATATCCTGAAAATAGTGGAGTAGCAGAGAAGAACTTCACAGAAGTCTCCAAAGTCTTACCTGATGCCAAAAAGTGAAATGACAATGGCAAATCTATGGAAGCAGTTTTAAGGGGAAAGAAAACAAAAAGAGGTGGAAGTAAACCATAAAATAGACATAGAGATGTAACACACTGGAATTTTAATACATATCTACTCATTCCTACCCAGGTATGCTTAGAGGATCAGTCTTCTATTCAATTAAATCCTTAGGTGGTCTACTTCCCAGCATTTCTTAAATCCATGGGGAATCCTGTGGAAGAAGAAGGAAAAGGAAATAAATTCTCTCTACCTATTCATGGAGTTTCTCCTGTTCCAGGTACTGGATTTTCTTCATCTGGATCCCTCCAAGCTGGAGGTTGTTCTTACTCCATAACGTCATCGAACAGCAGTGGAAAAGGCAACTTCAGATCAGTCGTATCAATGAGCAAAATACTCAGTGGTGTCAGAATTTCCACAAAAAGAATTGTGACAAATGGAAACAAGAAAATATCAACTGTTTTTAACTATTAACATTCTCAACAGAAATTGGAAGGAGGTACCTGTTATAATTGGGTAAAAAGTTATTGGAAATGTGATTTTTTTTCAGAAATACTGTTACACTGTGCTCTTCTGGAGGGATTAGCAGTTATATCTCTTGGTAAGGTTTTAAAGAAATTCCACTTTCAGCGGATATTTGGTTATAGTATGCTTTTTCCATCAATCTTGTATTTTTAATCACATAATGGGAGAGATCAGTTCGGACAAGTTACTATAGAACTCTAATGTTCCTTCTTTGTCATTATTTCATGTTAAATTGTAACAAAAATATGATCAGTAACATCTCCAAAACAATATTTAATATTTGTAAGAAAGATACTGCAGTGGAACTGTTCTGTGTGTGGTATTTATCTATGGTATTTATAAAAACACAAAATCGTGGTAATATAGAGTGATGGACAACAATAATATATGCAGGCATTTGAACTTGTTGGCTATTGATGCCAAATTAAAATTTATTTTTTAATTAAAAGTAGAAAAGAATGCAGCAAAGTAAAGCCAGTGCAAGAGAACATCCTATGTTAAAGACTTTGGGCTGTGATGACTTGTGAGACACCAGTCGATGCACTGCTCTGTGGATGTAGCTTGTTTCTTGGGTAGCGCAGTGATAGAACTGTGATGGTGCAAATAAAAGAATGGTCGTGTGTCTGAAACTGAGGTGGGAGTTGTGAGATGGGGATTCTTTCTCCTTTTTGATGCATGGAGAATCATTTACAGTTAATTTGCAAACATATGACAAGGTTATCAGATGGGGGAGAAAAAAAAAGTCTGCAGGATTTCTAATCTAAATAGGTCAGAAAGCAAAGATTTGAGGAGACAAAAAAAAAAAAAAAAAAAAAAAAGAGAGAGAGAGAAAAGAATGAAAACCCTATGATTTAAAAGTGGAATGTAGCCATTGTGGAGATTCAGCCTGGGAAGTTGCTGCCTTCTCCACTGTAGTTGAAGGAATTTCCTTTGGAGTGCTGAGCTCTGCGGCTGGATCCTTGTAGAAGTTCTGATTGCAGGAGACTCCTTTTCTCTGCAGGATGTGTGGGAAGTCGGCCGTTTAAAGCAGTCACCTGAAGTTATTAGCAGGTGCTGACTAGTCCAAACTTGTACACTGCTGTCAATGGTAATTTTGAAACACATTTCACTGCCTTCTCCCTAAGTGTGTCCTTTGCTTAATGGCTGTTAGTTAGGCAAGCTGTACGTGTGCCTATTAATTTCAAACAGATGTACAAGGAGGGAATTTTGAAATGAGACTGATTTGGGTTTTCTGCTTGACTAAATAGTATTTATGCATTAGTCAGCACAGTTGAGCACTTGAAAAACCAAACAGCAGATGTTAGCAGCTACAAACAATTATTTCAGAAAAATAAAAGGCTACTATTTCTTTTCTCACTGATCCTCTGTAGTAGTCTTCCATTTGTTGCATGATTGTTCTCAGCTATTAGATCTGTACGTTTTCTTTATCAATTCTTTAATTCTTCTTATAGGAAATTGATGGCAAATCATTACTGTTGATGACAAGAAATGATGTACTGACTGGACTTTCATTAAAACTGGGGCCTGCGCTGAAAATCTATGAATATCACGTAAAACCTCTACAGACACAACATCTAAAGAACAACTCTTTATAGCGAATTGTCTAATTGGGGTCATGTTGTGCCTCAAACAGTAAATAAGCAATTTGGTTTCATGTGATGGAACTTTGTAAAGAGAGAATATATTAAGAATTTAAACCAAATTTAGATATTTATCCTATTGGATAGAGTTGGCAATATAATGTATACTGAGTCTGAATTGAGAGAGGTGGTGTGTATTTTTCACATAGTGCATAATGATTTTCTCTTTTAGGGTTTGTCAGTGAGCATGTTGAAATAGCTACATCACTGTATCCAGAACAAAAGGGAGGTATGTCATTCTCATTTTTGAGCCAGCGTGTTCTTAATATCATTATTTAAATACCAAAAAATCAAACAGAAGAAAAATAAAATAAAGTTTATGTGCATCTTTGGGAGAGATAAACCGTTGGAGGTATCTTCTGGTGTACAATAAAGACCTACTAAAACTATTACTACTTGTAATACTGGGATGGGACTGACATTTGCCAACTCACCCTTTTTTGCAGAGGGTCCTATTTTGACCTTATTAAGGTTTATTTGTGGTATGCCGCAATGTTTAAAGCTGTACATAAAACTAACATAACCCCTTCGATAGCAGAAGGTGTTGCTGACAGGTGAAACTGGGTTGTGTATTTTTTGCTGTCTTCTAAATTTTCAGCTTGTTTTCACCTGTTTTTAACGGTAGCTCTATGTAAAGTATGGTTGGTTTTTAAAGTTTGTGTTGCTTTGCAAACAAAAGAAATAGATCGTTCTTTTTTAATTTATGATAACTTGTTTTCTAACATTATGCAGAAATTTGTTAAACAAACCTGCACATTTTTAATATTGTCTGTCATTGGTGTTGTAATGGTTTATTTTTTTTTAATGCTTTACTTAACAGTTTGAATACTTGTTTTAAAAACTAAAAGAAGCTGTCTTGTCACCATACATCTCTGTTAAAAGAGAGAGTCTTGTTCAATCTGTTTGTACCAGTTCCCTCCTTGATAGGTTGCTTGCTATAACCCAATAAAGCATTGCTTATGTTTGAACTCAGTTTACTTTATAGATCTTTTTACTTTCTGTTTCTTTATTATGTTATATTGGATTTCCTGATTTTTTTTTTTCCTACTTCTCCATTAAAACAGTACCAAAACCTTCTGCATATTCTTTGCTCCTGTGATTACTTTTAACACCACCTACCAAGATATTTAAAGACTTTATTTTTGCTTTTTCTTATCCAGTGTTACATACTGCTGAAGGAGAGAATTTGAAGCATTGGTTACATTCACCAGTAACATCTGCACTTCTCTTACCCTTTTCTAGAGCTGTCTTTATTCAGAGGTGCTGTGTTGGCACTGCTACAGCAGAGTGAATTATCCCTCAGTGCCTGGGAGATAAAGTACAGGTACTGCTTAGCACTGTCCAGACTTGTCATCTTCTCTGGCCCAGAGAACTTTGTGATGACCTCTAAAATGGGATGTGGAGTTGCATAAGTGAGACTTAGCAGATGAGCTAGGAAGCAGGAAATAAGTGGGAGTGTGTGCTAAAACTGAACATGGTTTGGGAGGCAGCTGTGATGGGATTGGAAGGGAGAGTAGGGGTGTGGTGATTTCAGCCAAATGGGGACAACATTCTGTGACAGCAAAGAGAAGCTCCTGTAATCTCCTGCCTTAGGTAGTTGTCCTGCCTTCACTTTGATTTGGCCAAGTGCAAGGTAGCTGTGGATGCTACAGTGGTAGGAGAGCTGCTTATATTTCTAGTATTGCCATCTGGAAGGGGATAAAGCCACATATGTATCTGCTCTATAGGTAAAACTCATGGCATGTGCTATGACAAACTATACAGCAGCGTGCTTTCTTGTATAGTTTCTAACCTTTACTCCGTAAAACGTTTATTTAGATATGTGATAGGATTCTGGGGTGTATTAACCATTTCTCTTCCTTTCCCTCAGAGAACTGTGCTCTCTTTGGGTATCTGTTTGTTAGCAGGTTTGTAGGTCACAGTCTGAATTCTTGTTACAACTTTATTGTTTATAATTTGGTAGCAGCCAGGGATACCTACTGGGAATAGAGATCTTGTGGAAGGCTTCAATCAAATAGAGAGAATCATCTCTGCCCTGGGGAATTTTCAGGTACAGCCTATCAGGCCAGTCAGAGGCTGCAGCTGAAAAATTACACGTAAAATTTCTCTAATTATTTTAATACAGAATTAGATCTACTTACGGGAAGGATTATGTGAAGCAGCTGCCTGTAGCTGTCTGGAGATTCCTACCTGCCCTGAATTTGTAGAATTGTTGGAGTGGAATACACCATGCTATGTTACCAAAGGATGAACTGAATATTCTCTTTTCCTCCATTTGAATGGTTTGGTTTGGTTTGGGTTTTTTTGGTAGATCTATGGATGATATCAAATTAAAAGATGTTCATTCCATCAGGAAGCAAAAATTTTTGCTGTACAGCTGTGAGGACTCATTTGGTGATTACTGGGTACTGTGCTTTCTTTTAATGTGTTTTAATGACTGCTGTGGTTTAACCCAGCAAGTGGCTAAGCACCACACACTCGTTTGCTCACTCCTCTCTTCCCAATGGGATGGAAGAGAGAATTGAAAAAAACAAAAGCAAACAAAAAAACAGCAACAACGAAGAACTTGTGGATTGAGATAAAACTATTCACTAAGATAGAGAAAAGGAAAAGGAGAATAAATATGACATATATATGGTGATTACTGAGTACTGTGCTTTCTTTTAATGTGTTTTAATGAGCAAGTGAATTGGATTAAAAACCATCCAGATTGTATTCTTCCCTTGGTCAATACTGTGAACTGGTTCATACAAGTAGAGATCTTACAGATAGCTCAGTGCAAGCATGGAAGGGAGTTTGGAGTATGTTATTCTGAACTATAACCATTTCTTTTCCTGAACTTTATTGTGGTTTTCTACTGCTCTCTGAGCTTTCTAATGCTGCCCACAGAGGTTGTGGAGTCTCCTTCTCTGGAGATATTCAGAACCCTCCTGACACTTGCCTCTACAGTCTGTGCTAGGAACCAGGGGGTTGGGCTAGATGATTTCCAGAGACCCTTTCCAATCCCTGCGATTCTTTGATTTTCTTTGTGTAGGTGACTGTCTTGATTTTGTCCATAACATATTCCTTGCTGTTTCTGTAACAGAAAGGTAAAATATTTTTTAAAAAGACTGTATAGTCTGAAAGAGGAAGTAAAAGCCAGATTATTTTTAGCTACCATTTGTCTTCCAGAAAACACAGCTGCTGTTGAGATGAGAAAGCAACTGATGGGCAGTACTGGATACCATGTCAGAACTGTGGTTCTAATAGTGGCAGAGCTATGCAGGGGTCCTGGTTAAAAGCCAACTTTGTGCTTTGGGTGCCCAGTGTCTGACTGCTCAGCTGATACTGGGTAGAGAGTGACAGTAGTCTCAGTGCTGCAGGTCTCCCTGCTATCACACTGAATGGGTAATTTAGAGACTCCTCCATCTCCTGGAGGCAGCATGAAGGAGCAAAGCAACGGTCAAATCCCCTGCCCTGCTGCCAGTTAGCACAGGAACAGGGAGACGTACTGCAGCCAAGATCCTCCTATTTGCTGACCATCATGGAGACCAAATCTAAAGAAGGTAGAAATGGTTTTAAGTTGAAAGGGGAAATGGTTGTAAGTTGAGGGATGGAAGATTTAGGTTGGGTGTCAGGGGGAAGTTCTTTACTATGAGAGTGGTGAGGTGCTGGAACAGGCTGCCCATAGAGGCTGTGGATGCTCCATTCCTAGAAGTGTTCAAGGCCAGATTGGATGGGGCCCTGGGCAGCCTGGTCTGGTATTAAATGGGGAGGTTGGTGGCCCTGCATGTGGCAGGGGGGTTGGAGGTTCCTTCCAACCTTGCCATTCTGTGATTCTGTGAAGATAAAAAGGAATTTGGTCAGGGATTGGGCCCAAATAATGTAGCTAAGTCCCATTTTCAGGAATTATTTATCCCATTGTGATCTGATTCTAATTGTCATATAGAAGATTTGGGCTGCTTCCTATTGTCTAAATGCTTACATTGGAAGGAATATGTTCACATGCATGACTCAGGTTTTGCAGTGCTGGATGGGGCTACGCTGAGATGTCTGTAAGGACTGCTGAGTGTCCGTGTGTGTGGAGATCTATAGAAGCCACATTACAAGAGTGTATGTGTGCTTTTAGCTACAGAATAATTTAAATCAACAACTAGTTGCTTCTTTGCATCCTTGTTCTGCCATGAAGTTTAATCCATTACTACTTTGTAAGCCCACAGATGAAGCACTAATAGTAATGACAAACAACCTTCCACTTAGTGCAATTCATTTCTCACCAGGTAGAAAGAAAGTTGGTAGTGAAGAGCAGAATAAATGATCTGCTTTGCTTAAAAAGGGCTAAAGATTGAGATGTGCAATATGAGCCTTTTTTCCTTTTGTTTTTATCACTTGGTAGTGAACTGTCATTTGAAGCAATGCTGATCACTTTTTGAGGTAAAATTGTCTGAACTAAAATATCATTCCATATGATGTTTATATGTATATGCAAGTAGGAAATTGTTTTATTTCTTATTTCACAAAGAGTCAAGTACTGATTTGTTTGGTTTTTTATATTGCTCTTTATTTGCCCTTGAAAGATAAATTAATAAATTATAAGCACCTAAATATAGAAGAAGTAGCAAGACATAAGCCCAAGCCCACAAGTACAATACAAATCAAGTCAAACAAGGTAAGAATGCACATCCCCAGCAAAACCTATCAGTGTCACTAATGGAGCTTTCAGAATCAACAAGTGACCAAAGAACAGCAGATCTGGGGCAGATTCACTCTGTGGTGTCATTTGTTCTGTTGTTTCTGAGGTGTTGTCTCAGGATTGTGAACAGTGCCTTCCCTTTACAACTGTTAATCTTGTTCACCAAGGCAAGTTCCTGTCATGGGGTATGGTGCAGGACATGTTCTTTTTCAGTATTTCTGAGCTTACCCTCTGTACTCAGAGAAATGCTGAGGAGGCACGAAGGAAACCAATTTGCAGTTTTCAGACATAACTTAGGGCACTTCCAATTGGATTTGCTGTCTCTGTCACATGGAATTCAGTGACAGTGAAACTGGGAGAAAATGAAAGCAGTGGTTAGAAGCTGTTAGAAGTTGAGCAGGATTTCTATTGCAAATGTGGTAGCTGCCGTTTCTGAGATGAGAATTGCTGGTTCTGTAGTTTTATCTCAATGCATCCTGTATTTCTGCCTCTTCCTAAGAATAATAGGGTTACTTAGATTGATTTCTGCCTGCTCTGAAGTCATGGTGAGATTATTAGACCAAAGAAAGCTATTTAATTAAAATTACAGAGATAGCCCAAATCCTCAAACACCTCAATGATTAATATAAAAGTAATTATAAAGTAACTGTATATTCTGATGAATAGCAGCAGCAGCAGCCATGCAATCAAAACACATGCAGAGAAATTAGTAAACAGCTGTAACTAGTCATGCTGTACAGAAGATATGTTAGATTTTTATTTTTTTTATTATTTCCTTCACAAAGAAATCAGTGTCTGATCGATTCCTCACTCAGTTGTTAGGTCAGAACTTCAACTCTCTAGATCAGTGTGGCATCAAGGGGTTGGCACAGGTTACATCAGTGAAACATCTGGTATTGTGCCTGTATATTCATTTTACTGAAGGAATATGAATAGACAACATACATAGTTGCTTATTTTGTGTGTCAAAAACATGTTAAAGATCATCAAATTCATTAAGTCTGGGAATAGCTGATTTAAAAATATAAAAACTATAATGTTTCCAGCTGGGATTTCAGTCTGCAAATCACACTGAGTTCCAGGGAGATACTCTGATATCTGAATTTCTGAGGCTCATTTAGAAATCCCAATCTAGGAGTTCACAGAGTGGAAAGTAGTCAATGTGAAAGAAGCCAGTAGTAAGTATATGCTGATAGGAAAGCCATACTGCAAGTTTATCAGGAATGTACACAGGAAGCCAAGAGGTTTACTTTCCCTGAGCAGCTACCAGTCCAAACTGACTTTCCTTCTCATCTTTTATCATGTGGCTTTGTGCTTCTAAGTACTTCTTTCTGCCAAGCGTGCAAGCACAGGAACCATAGGGAGTTTCCACTGGAACCAGAACCTGTGGAGAAGGAACACAGATGTCATGCCTGAGACAAGGATGTGTCATTACAATCACAGAAGAAACTGCATCTATTCTCCTCCTTTCAAAATCATGTGTTGGTCCATGACATCCTTTCTGGACCTCAATGGTAGATTTTGTCATCTCAGATGAAAGTAGCTTTATAATGTCCCTGCAAGAGGCCAAAAGTAGTACAGGGTGGCAGGATAATCACAATTTGAAAGGAAAGCCAGAGTATAAGCTGCCTACGGACCATTGAACTGTCAAAACAACAAATGCAGTATGAAGTAACCAAGTTTCTCTCTGTCAAGTAAGGATAATAGAACAAACTTCCAGCTGAACCTGTCTAACAGCTAAAACAGCTGTGGAAGAAGGAGAAAATACATTGTAGCTCCTTTGTCTGTCATTCTGATTGATGTTAAGTTTATATGTACATAATATATATAATGTTTATATATTTATATAATTTAATATAATATAATATATGTCAGTTTATATACCTTGTCCACTGCTGGACCAGCCTGCTTTGGCTCCTAATGACTACAGAACAATTCCTTCACTGCTGTCTTAGAATGCTGGTCTTCTGTCATCTAGAGATAAAGTCTACGGCTTTGGCTAACCTGCTTGTGACCTCACAGCACCAAGGCTCCTCACTGGCCTCAGCAGCACTGCCAGTGGAGTAGAAAGAAGAGCCATATTGTACTGGCATTTCAAATTGCCAGGTCATGTGAAAGGATGATGAGACTAATTCTACTTGGTTAGACCTGCACAAGTTGACATTATCACTAAAATCGTAATGCAATAAAAATGAATGATTTCTTTCAGACATCTGTTACGGATCTCTCTGATCTCCAAAACATTTTCCTGTGCTTAGCAACATAAGAAGGCAATCATTCTTCTCCTGTAGTTAGTGTAGAACTCCTTTAGCGGTAAGGTAGAGCTTTTACTGGGGCGGGGGGAAATTGCTCCCTTTTTCTATGCAGAGAGGCTGCTGTGCTTTATGGCTGTGTATTTATAGAGCAATTCTGGCAAACTGGAGCATTTACTTACTTCTTTGTCATTGGTACAGCCTAGTGCCTTCATGTCTACCACATTATAAAAGGTGTTGTTCAGGATGACTTCTATGACCTGTACCTGAAAATACGAAAACAGAGCAATGAATCATGATATTTCTCAGCCAACAGCCTTGAGATGTTTTCCCTCAGTGTGAAGAAAAACAGAGCAACATCTCCTTTCTCCAAAATATGCACAGCTGATAAATGCATTCTATTGAATGTAGAATGTGGTAGCTGTGTTCCTTTCACACTTACTCATATCCTACCAAGCATGCAGCAGTATTCTCCCCCATTATTGTCATAGCTAATAAGCAGAAATTCTCAGGATTGAAATTGTGAGAGCATTTATAGTTTTTCAGACCATCTAGCTGCACCACCAAACAGTTCCATCTTAAGACTGCTAGAGGAGATTGGTTCATTTTGGTCCTCTCAAAGGACCAATTGATGTTTACTATTGTTAAAGTAAAACATCAACAGAAAGAAAGACAATACCTGTGACACTCGGGAGAGAACACACATCTGGATGCAGTTGATGGTCTTCTGGTAAGAGGGTGAATAATCCCCACAGTCAGGTGGCCCTGAGAAGGCCTCAAGGATGCATTCCCGGACTTTGGCCCTAGAGATAAAACATGTTCTTACAAAACTTCTGTCTAGATCCATCATATTTTACTGTGCTCATTTTCTTTCTACTTTTCTCTGTCTTTTTTGTCAGAAAAAGCACATGAGATTTCACAGAAGATCAGTGTATTTGTCCTGTCTCCTCCCAGTTCCTCCCTTGCCAACTCTATACTTGCCAGCAAATGTTTTGTTAAAAATATTTAACAAATGAGTTGTGAAGCTGTTCTCTTAGTGTTCTGAATTGAGCTACAGACTGTCCATTTAAATCCTGCTGTCCAATGGACCATTAGAGACAGAAGCTGATTTAGCTGCAGAGATTGCTTTTTGTCCCAGTACTGAATGCTTAGAGCCTCTGCAGAGACCTACGGGAGCAGCTGTGCTTGGCAGATGCAGGTCTGGCCTTTACCCTGCTGCAATGCACAGAGGGACTTTGGGATCAAAGATTGGGTGATAAATATTATTAAGCTTTATATATACCATATGCAGTCAAAATCAAAATCTCTGCATTCGCCGTATGACCACTTGCAGAAGAGCTCTCCACATAAAATCCTGTCATTCCTTTCAGGAAGCGTGGTGTGTTCATTTCTGTAGAAGCCTTCAAATCCAGACTGTGTTGTTTTCATAAGTTTCAGATCTTTAATTCCAGCAAAAACAACCAGAGGACCTGTGAGCCAGAAATATGCGATAGCATGAGCCCTTTTCAGAGGCAGACAGAAAGGATCTCTGCTTGTGCACTTGTAGTAGTGGTTCTAGAGCCATCAGGTAGTGACTACTCCAAGACTTGCACATTTCTGCTGCAAGGCTAACTACTTCTAAAAATTATTTTCTGTGTGCTGATGGTAGCAAGAAGGCAAGAAACAAGATAGAAGCCACTGAAATCAGAGCTCAGTCTAGAAAGAAGAGAATCTTCTTGAGTGACCTGCAGTGGAGAATCGAGGACACCTCTTCTCTCACTTCCTTGGAGCTGGGATGCATATCAGGTAGGCTCTTACTGATGTCAACTTGGGGATCACTAATTGCTCAAAAGGGAAATGAAATGAGCTACTGGTGCTGTGGTGCACAGGAGAGGTAAAGGGAGGCCTTTTCTAACATGGAGAAGTGTTGAAAGGTAGGTTATACAAAGACTGGGAGCCTCAGCCAGAAATTCACTTTACATATCCATCCTGTTGTGTTTTGCATCCCTAAGAACGCGAGGGCAAGGAGCCAATGCAAATGCTTGCAGTTCAGCTAATTAGCAGGAACTGGCATTAATACAGAAACCACCCACAGGTTCAAACTGACAGTGTTTTCCTTGTAGCCACTATTTATAAAATGAGCTGTTGCAGATCAATGCTGCATGGGCGGATTATAATTTTCTCAAGACCTAACAGTTGTGTCCTGAACATTTTATTCTGTCATTTTGGATGGCAGCTGAAAAAATTCATGTGGTCAGTCATTTAGATTACACCAAACTGATAATTGAAAATTTCACTGAGCAGAGCTGCCAAAAATGCAAATTTGGGAAAGAGGAACTTTACACCATGCAGGCTTACCCAGAGCCCATATAGATGGTCACTGCTGAAGCCTATGCTGCTGCTTTGTGCTCTTCATGCACACACTAGCTAGTTTAAAATTAATCCTTCAGTAAGCCTGGCACATAGTAATCCTGCCTTTGACTTGGAGGACTGACACACTTTTATTAAATTGCCTTTGAAGAAAGGAGCATATAAACAGGAGGGGGAACAGCTGTTTATGAGGGTGGATAGTGATAGGACAAGGGGGAATGGTTTTAAACTGAGACAGGGGAGGATTAGGTTAGATATTAGGAAGAAGTTTTTCACTCAGAGGGTGACGCACTGGAACAGGTTGCCCAAGGAGGTTGTGGATGCCCTGTCCCTGGAGGCATTCAAGGCCAGGCTGGATGTGGCTCTGGGCAGCCTGGTCTGGTGGCTCCCAAGCAGGGGGGTTGAAACTATGTGATTTTTGAGGTTCTTTTCAACCCAGGCCATTCTATGATTCAGTGAAAGTTAAACTGAAAGTAATTTTGCTGTGATGGATATTTCCAAATGACATGATTGTTTAGAGTGTTTTTTTGTTTGTTTGTTTAAATACCTTGTTACTGGGTATGATTAAAACCGTACTTCATCCATTTATTTTCTTGTTTACATTCATCATTGCTTTTTGAATGGGTCCAGGGAGGTGTTATCTATTACTTTGACTACATTCCCTCATTATTCACCAAAGCTTTGTAGAATCTAAAGATTTACCTTATCTGCCCAATATTGTTGAACAGAATATACTGGATTTGCTTCAGATCTTGATGACTTCATTGCTCAGGTATAAGATAATTGGGTACAAATGTAATGCAAATACTACCAGTGTACCTTGAAGTATCTCATATTCAAATGCATACTGTTGTTTGAAAAGAATGCTTGCAACAAATGCTTTAATGAAATGCTGGCTGGGTAGATGTCTAGGTAGAACTATAACACCTAGACAAAGTTTTTAAAGAGCTGAATGTCCCTGTGCTTTCAGAAGCTTTTGTGCTTGTACTGTTTTTTCAGTTATCTGACGGCAACTCCACTGAGAATTGGAATCGATGATCTTTAGAGGTCCCTTCTAACCCTGCAATGCTGTGATTAAGTTACTTCTGATGTTTTCAGGTTTTAAAAAATTCTGAGCCTCCAATCAATTGAAATAGTGCAGGGGAGAAAAAAAAAAGAAGAAGAAGAAGAAGAAGAAAAAGAAAAGGTTGTAATGCTATTAAGCCTCACAAGTTTTCTTTTAATGATGAGTAAAGTGTTAAAACATAGGGTTAACAGAGAAGTAAATTTATGTGTCTGGCTGCTAGGTGCATGGGAGGATGCTAAAGATAGAAAAGGCTCACTTATAAGGAGAATAAAAGGGAGTTGAAAATCTTCTGATTATTATTCACCCAAGCAGGGAATCCTGAAGAAACAACTGAAGGTCTACATGAAGAAAAGACTAAGAAGGGAAGGCAGTTTTTTCAGAAAGCCTTTGTAAAGGCTGAAATTGCAAAATTGCATGCAGAATTATCATGATGATGAAATATTTAGATTCAGCTCATATACTGGAAGCAGAAGCTTCTCAAGAAAGCATAATATATTTTTTTTTTCATTCAGGTTTCTTTCTTAATTTTTTTCAAGAAGATAAAATTAATTATATCAAGGCTGCGAAAAATGTAGTAGTTGTCAACATTACTGTGAACATTACAAAACATTATGCCAAAAGGCACTGGAAACCTGCACGGGCTTTCTCTTTTTATTTTTTTCAGCAGGAATGTGGGGCCAATGCTCAGCTGTTCTTTAGCTGTCTCTCAGAGATCAAGGACTACATAATTAGACCATAAAATTATTCCTTGGTTTAGACCTCTGGAGAGGTTTTGTTCCTCTGTAAGCCCTGCCATGGCTTTTGCTGTCCCTAAAGCCACCTTCTGTCATCAGCAGAAATATTTACAGAGAAGCAGGGGAAGCTGCAAAGTCTTTTCTCACCATTCCGGCACTGCTCAGCTTCGCAAAAGCGAATCCCATCAGGAACAAGTATGAATGAGTGGATGTGGGGAACGCCGTTCTAAAATCCAGAGCAGACATGTGAGTTAAAATGCAGAAAGCAGAAAGCATCACCTTAACAGGAAAGCAGGGTAAGAGAGTGGCAAATGGCTCCAGCACGAGCCAAGGGAATGCATTAGTATTTCAGATACCTGGTATTGACGTTGCCATGGCACTTCCTGAACGTAGGTTTTGACGTACGCCACTTGGCAAAATGTTGTCATGAAGTGTTTGCAGATATCTATAGCAAATTGTTCTATACTTGAGATCTAAGGCAGCAAAGAATATTATTAGAACGAAGCAATTACCTCACATACAAGAGCAGATTGTTCTAATTGTAAATATTTAGGGAGCATCAATGTTGTTAAAAATACAGATTTCTTTCAATTCTGGTTCTGCGAGCTTACTCACTTGATCAGCTTGCAGCAAATGCTGCAAATAAACATCCAGATCCAGCTAAAAATCTCCCATTCTGCAGCTTGGGAGCTGGAGTCCCTGGATGTAATGCTGAATGTGGATTTCATTAAAAGAGAGAGAACTTGAGCTGCAGATTTTCTTTACGGTATGAGGAACTGAGGGAGGTAAGAGCACAGTTAACAGAATTAAGAAGAGACTAAGCTACTTAGAGCCCTTCTGTTTAAAATGCTGCGTAACAAACACTTCCCAGTGAAGAGACAAGAAAAGCAAGGATAGCTAAAAAGTAAAAGATACCCCATTTTTTTTGGCCAACACCAGGACAATATTCTTAATGGTGTCTGTAGGTATCACAAAAGAGTTGTTTCCATCCAAATACTCATGAGCAGAAGTCAGCCGGAGATGTGTGCACACTTCCACTTCTTTAACAAAGTGCTTCTTCCCTTCTCTATGAAGGCGAAGGAACTTGATTGTGTTCTTGCCATATTCACAGTTGAGCACTTCTATATCCTTAATCTGAAGGGAAAAAACACATGCTATAGTTGTAACAGAACTCGGCAGAGGCATTAGTTACACTTAGGCAGTGAAACATAAGCAACGTTTATTGTTTTATTTCTGTGATTACCTGTGATAATGAAAATATTTCCAAGTCCTGATAGAAGGATAAATGCTTTGAGAAGATGTCTTTATGAGCAGCAGCTATGACAGACTTTAAAACGTTTCTTGGAGGGCAGATCTTTTAGCAAATCGCACGCGGAGCTGCAGGGGCACTGAAGCAAAGCTTCAGTGCAGGGCAGGCAGGTGGCTTTGTGAGCAGGCACAACTCCCAAACAAAGAATGAAAGCAGCTGTCATGTTCTTGATGACTTTTGTTTTCTGTTGCCCCATCTGTGCATGTTGTGGTTCCCGAGAGAAAGAAGGAAAGAAGGGCCGGGCTGGGCTGGTTGAAAGGGTTGCAACCGGATTCCTGATTGCTCATGAAAGGGATCAGAAGCAAGTCTGAGCAGCAAAATTCAGCTCTCAAGTCACACTTCTACAATCCTGGCTTTCTGGGATCATTGTTTTTGTTTGCGCTAAGCCCTAATTGCTTTCATCCTGCTTTGGTCAAACGCAGTCCAACTTGCACAGCTTCTGCCGTGCTGGAGACACTCCAGTGGGAGGGAAGGAAAAATACCGTAGGGTCATGGGGTTTTCTTTTCTGCTAAAACATCCAGTGCTGACTGCAGTTGACTTTCCCTGAGGCTGACTCGTCCTGTACCTGATATTAACTTATTCCAGTGTAAGTGTAATGGGAAAGGAGACGAGAATATTTTCAAGACTAGGTTCAATTCAGACTTTGTTCCTAAGATAAATGCTAATGCATTTAAAAGGGAATTTTAAAACCTTACTAACCAACTGGAATTAAATTGCTGTGGCTCAGAGGCTTTTGTTGCTGTCGGTCCCTGCAAATGGACGTTCAGTGCCCATGGGCAAATGGAGGAACAGAGCTGAACTGGGGGCTTTGCGACTGGGAATGATGCAAAGGCTGAGCTCACTGCAGAGGCTGCATGGAAAAGCAGAGAGGAGAAAGTGGGTTTGGTTTGCTTGTCTGAAAACTGAGCTTTTTCGGGTAGTTGTACAAGATTGACGAGTTTCACGTGTCCGTTCTTCTGCCCGGATTGACGCGCGCGAGCTTCTAGCCGATGCTGGGGGCGTTCACCGGCAGCCTGAGGAAACGCAGGCGACTTCTGTTTTCGGAGCCTGCCCTGCGCTCACTGTGCCACGCGCCGAGATGACTGCGAGCTCTGCGTGGCGCGGCCCTACTCTGCTGCTGCTGCTCTTCTCCCCAGCCCTGTGGGCAGTGGAGATTTCCTGCAGGAACGAAGACGGGGAGGCAGTGGACTGGTAAGTAAGCACCGCACACGGGAGGGAAACTGGATGAGTAAATAATGCCTAAAATTACACTGTGCAAAGTAGGCGGGTCACTGGGAAGTAATGCACAGCAAGCATTGGTTTAATCCTTCTTGCCTCTGAGTAGCTGAATTTTACATTAGGAAAACCTGGGCTAGGTTACTAAAAGGTGATTTCATTCCATGGAACAAACCACGCTGCTCTGTTATGACTAACTGCAAAATAATGACAGGTTTACGCAGCGTTCATTTCTGATGATCAAAGCCAGCCTCACCTGTGTTCCAGTGCCAGCACCACAACTGCCTGCAGCAGCACTGCTGGGAAAATGCCCCCACCCTGCCCTGATCTCACTGATGGTCCCTGGCCACACAGGGGAGCTGAGGCCCAGTCGCCTCCCGAGCGGGCTGGGAGACGCACAAGGAGCGCAGGCAGCCATGGCTGTGTGGGAAAGCGGTGTCTGGCAGCGCCCAGCCAGCACTTAGGTGCCAAGTGATTAACTGGGTTAATGCACCTTGAAGATGAAAGACACGAAGTGTAATCACAAAACAACCAACCCATGTTTAGAAAGTAAAGCAAGGGCTTTTAAAAAAGAAAAGAAAAAAAGCACTGAAGCCTCTGGAGGACAAATATTAAGCACTTTAAAGTAAGAATGACAGAGCAGCAATTAGTTCAGATATGAGTGATAGAGGAGGTGGTGCTGCTCTGTACCACCACCCTCACACATGGCTCACCAGGGGCTCCCAAGCACAGGCATTGTGCTGCTCACATTGAGCTCCTGAGGGACTGGCCCAGCCCCATCTTGCTTACCAATGCACCTCCAGATAAAAGTCATTTTTTGGGAATCAGAATCTGAATTGGTGCAGGCAGCCAAGAAATTGGTGATAAGAAATATTTCATTTCTCTGTAAAACAATGATTTCTTTCAGAATAAGTTGCAGACCCTGGTCCCTTCTGACAGGAGTAGTAGGGAGAAGAGGGGAGATCTTCCAAACGTATCATGACCTGATAAAAGAGAAGCTTGCCTGTCAGCATGGTCGTGCTTGTTTATTGACAAACATCCTCTGCTTCTTCCTGATTCTGAAGTCAGGTGCTACGAAGCAGAACTGAAACTGCTGAGAAAAGCTTCCTCTTAAGCAAAGGATGTTGACACCCTTTAAAATAAACACAGCTTTTCTTTTTTTTATTTTCACTTGCAAGAGCTGTATGAGTCTCTGCTGTTCAGTGGCTTCCTGCTGCAATTCTCCTTAATTGCTTATTACCAGTACTCACACACCTTTTCTTTGCTGCTAGACTGAAGGAATCACTTCCCTTATCACTCTGATTCCTCCCTGGAAATGTCCAAAGCTGAGTGGGAGGGGGCTTTGGGCAGCTCACATTACTGGGAGGCATCCTACTGAGGGACAGCTGGATCTGTAAGGTCCCTTCCAACCCAGACTGTGCCATGAATCTGGTCCTCCCACCTGTGTCCCTGGCTTGCCTGCACTTCCTTCCATGAGTGGTAGGGCTGGCAATGGCCACAGGTGCTGTTTCACCTGGGAGCTCACCTCACCAGCCCCTGCACACAGCATATGGCCCCAGGCCTGCTGTCCTTAGGAGAGCAGAAGTCTCTGTTTTATTGGCCCAAGTTCACTGCACTCTTTGAGAATCATCTTGTGCACACAGAGCCAGGGATTGAAGCCAGGGCTGTGCATTGGTTTTTATAGGATGTGGAAAAAAGAGATTAAAAGATGGTTAAAAATTGCTTCTAGTAATTCAGTGCTCACTCAGAAGCAAGCACTGTGGCTGTGTTAATCAGATTCTTTGCTGCTAATGACTTTGCTTTTTCCTGATTGTCAGGAAAGTAATTTCAGTCCACTCCCACAACACTTCAATACTTTAAGCGCTTGAGAAACTTCCTGTGCAGTTAGCAGTGAGGACTTTCATCCAGCTTTAATTGCTGAGGCACTCATCTGTCAGTTCAAGTGCTCAGCTCACCTGGGAGTGGGCATTCCTGTAAGCATGTCAGCTACAGGGCTGTAAACACGTCAGCTACAGGGCTGTAAACATGGGGAAAGCACCGACCTTCCAGAACATTTTGGAGGAGCTTGGAAAGGCTTCAGGCAGCAGTTCTTGGTTCATCTCCTGCCTGTATAACTACTACTGTTTGTCTTCTTTCCAAAACCTCATTGCAAGTGAAGGGATGGCTGCAGCTTCTCAAGTAGGAAACGCTCTCACCAGACCTCCCCTGCAAATTCCTTCTTCACCTTCTCCTGGAACATCCCTCAGACAGTGGGGATGCAGGTGGATTACAAGAATCACTAGCATGGTGTGTGCTTCTCCTCAGTCTGTATGTGTGCCCTTCCATGGATTAAGTGTCCCTCTAGCAAAATGCTCTTCTGGTGCTTTTATCTGCTTTCTGAGCTGCCTTTTTTTTTTTTTTTTTTAAACCAACTGTAATTTATCTGGGCAGGACCTACTCCTCCTGACATACTGACAGTGTTAAGTGCAGTCAGACTGCATTATTGCTAAGTACTATGCACAGGACTGAAAATAATGCCGCTCAGTTCTTACTATTGACATAAATAACAAATTACTTAAGCAGAGCACTCTAAGCAAGTGGCTCAGTTAATTAGACTGCATTTAATCCCATGGACTTTTGTACTAGGAAAACCTGTTTACTTCATCAGATACGCTAGTAGAAACGGACCCATTTACCAACAATGTCAAGTACTCTGCAATTTTGAAGAGATTTGTGTTTCTTACTGATTGTTTGTAAATATTCCACTTGCAACAGCTCAGCAGAATGTGTGTCTGCTATTGAAGGATTATAATCAATCATGGTTTCGTGCTTATTTATGTGTGTATGAACAAGTGGAATTATATAATTTTATGATTTAATATACAGTGTAATTATGGCTCATATAAATACATAATTCTATGTGTATAGAATAAGAAATTGTTGGTAAGAGTTATCCATGTTGACCAAGAGAATGGCAGACTGAGTTTGGGACCTGAAGTTCAGGCTCAGCCTTTTCCTGTTTACGAAAGCCAGGAGCAAGCAGCATGGATTTGGTGGCTGCATGGGACACCAGAGGATGTCCCCACAGTGTGCATCCCTGCATAGGTTTCCCTGCTTCATCTCCCTGATGCTGAGCTCACAGTTCAGTCACTGAAATGCTAGGCACAACTCATTCAGCCTCATCCTTTGTGCCGAGAGTGAAAACCCCACAAAGATGCAGGACAGAGTTTTGTTCAGATGCTCACATTCACATTTTAGCCACAGGAGGGATGTGGGTGCAGTGAGGGAAAACTAAGGCTAGTTATTCTAGGGTACTGACAACAGTGTGGCCATAGCAAGGGTAGTTTGGTGCTGGCTAAGCCTCTTCAGAGAAGCAGATTGAAGGTGCCCGCAGGGACACGGTGCTGCTGGCTCCAGAGTGTTAGCACTGGTGCCCCTGTGCAGGCATCTCTGTGGTCACCTTGGTCCTTACATGCTCATGGGGGAGAAGAGATGGACCTATGCATTGAGGTAGAATGGTTTGTGAGAAAAACAAAATTTGTTTGTCACTGCTGCAGGTTTGCTGTGTACAAGCTGCCAAAGCACACCAAAGGAGATGGCACAGGGCTGGGCCTGGAGTACCTGTACATGGACAGCCTAGCGCAGCAGTGGCAGCCTGGCAGGTACCTTGTCAACATGACACAGAGTGCTCTGGGACAGACACTGGGGCAGCTCTACAAAGCATACGAGTCCAAGGTAAGTAAGGTTTAATTGCTGTGTTGCTATCATGTCTACTTGACAGTACATGCAAATTAAATGAAACCAGCCAAAATAAGCATGTAGGGCTATAGCCAGACCTGACTGACTAGATCTGCTAATATGCATCAAGGTGAGCATACTGGTGGCTTGGCAGATCATTTGCAGTTCTGGCTACAATTAGAATCATAGAATCGTAGAATTGTTTGAGTTGGAAGGGACCCCTAAATATCAGCTACCCCAACTCCCCTGCTTTGAACAGAGACCCCTACAGCTTGATCAAGCGCTCAGAGCCCTGTCCAGACTGATATTGCAAGTATCCATGAACAGGGCATCCACTGCCTATCTGGGCAACCTGCCCCAATGCCTCCACCCTAATTGTAAAGAGCTTTTAAATATTTTCCCTATATTCAAAATTAGAATTAGAAGTTGCCCTAGAAATTTCTAGTTGAGTCTTTCACACACTTGAAGTATTGTCCATCAAATAGATGAACATTGGTGCACGGTCCCCATGGCTTTGTTTCTGCAATTTCTGTTGAGTGGTGGCTGAAGCACAGAGCCAGCTGTCAGCTCAGCCCAGCCTGGTGCCGATCACCAAAGACCACCCACCGTAGCCCTCCCAGCTGCATGTGTTTTGCGTTTCACCTTAGATCACATTTGGGTTTTGCTGTTGCCTTCTGACTGCTTCACCAGTAATGATTTCTTTTTCTAGTCAGAAACTTCCTTTATGCTAGTGTGATCATAAAATACCACAAGATCTACCCATGGTTATTTTTTAGCATCTACACATTGTTCCCATTCTTAAGAATCTGGGTGTGTCTTTGCATTTCTGCTGTGGGTTGGTGGTAGGGTGTCATTACATTTATATATTTAAAAAAAAATTGGTCAAATATTGCCAAACCACTCGACTCTCCTATTCTGTATCATGCTGGAACTGTAATACAAACAATCTTTACAAGCTCACAACGCTGAGCTATGCTGATGCCATCTTCCTACACTGCTAGCATTTGCAAACTGCACAGCAGGTGGGGAAACATTTCTCAACACCTTTGAAGCTCTTTATTCGGGGCAAATAAGGTGCAGCTGTATGTAAATTTTTTTGTAAAAAATATTCATGGTTTGTCCTTCATAAGAACACTTGAAATGGCTTCTTTTCCTGAGCAGACATTTTCACAGGACCTGGTTGCTAAGTGAGAAAGAGATACACAGAAAAGCAGAGGATGGGAAGTTCTGGGAAGTGGTTGCCCAACAGAACCCATGGAAATTGTCCTATTGAGCATATTGAGCTTCAAGGACTGTTGCAATGATTGAGAGAACTTCTGCTTGATATTAACCAGGATCATAATGCTGAGTATTCAAGTTTATTTTAGTGTAAGCTCTGTGTAGATGGTGGCAGCTGACATGGGAAAGAGTCTCGTGATGTATGCAGAGATCTGCTGAATTCTTTCAGAAAAAGTCATTTGCTTAAAGGCCTTCCTCTTACTGAATGTCGTGTTTCAGAAATGTGTGTTTCCCTGCAGAGGAACAACACTGTGTATGCAATCTATAACGATGAGGTCCCTCATTCAGGCTCCATCAGCTGTAAAAAAGGACACACCAAAGGTACAGGGAGAATCCCCAGCTTTCCTCTTTTTTAAAGTTGTGGAATTTGTTTGTTTGTCAATCTGCATATCTAAGAATCCTGCCTAAAACAAAACTGGAAAGCAATTTGCACGATGAGTGGTTTGCGGCGCGGTGACAGATGCAGTTGCTTCTATTCTGGTTCTGCTGTGTCTGTGCTGTGTTGAAGAACTTTTAGGGATTAGGGACCCTTTGTTTTCAAGAGTGGAAACTCTTGTATCTCCTTCAGCAAGTACAGACACATCGTCCTGAGCTGGCTGTGTGACAGCAGCACCCAGTGCAAGGGGAAAGGCACCCTGTGAGACAGCCTCTGAACTCCCAGCTTTCCATCTCTGTGGAAGGATTATAGAGGCACTTAAGTAAGCAGTGACAGTATAGCCACAGAGCTGCTGTGCAATCCTGGTGGTCCCTTGAGGAAGCAGATGGGACTTGCCCAGCCTGGCGCTGGAGAGCTTTGGCAGGGCTGTATCTGGCTGCAGATCTGGGGGCTGCTCCCTGGGCCCATGCCTACCTGCAGTGCAGGTATCCTGCACTGAGCACAGTGATGAAATGAAGGGAAGGGGAAGGGGCCATGAGGAGGGAGTCACAGACAATAAACCATCAGATTTTTCAGAGACGGTATTTGAGCAGAGAATGAAAAGGTTTTGCAAAGATTTTCTTTGAAAGCACAGAGGTGACAGTTCATGTTAGGCTACACAGCCGAGAATTAATGCAATTTTAGCACAATATCAGTGTTTTCTATAGCTCATTAATATACTGTAGAGCCAGTTTCACTGCAGACATTAACACACTAAAGCATGATGTCTGCAGCAGCAAATCCAAAGCAGGACACCACTGCGATGTCTCAGGGCTTACGTCATTCATTTGATATAACTTTCCTCTGATAGGGTTTCTGCTCTTGGACAAATCACAAGGCTTCTGGGTGATCCACAGCGTGCCCTTGTTCCCCCCCTTTCCCGAAGATGGCTATGGTTACCCAGCCAGTGGGGAGTTCTACGGACAGACAGCCATGTGCATAACCTTCACATATGAGCAGTTCATAGAAATAGGTAAGGATTCTCCCTAAGAATGCCTTTGCACCACTGCAACTCTCTGACTCCTTTCCTTTTTGCTGTGCCTCCAAAATTGCTTGCTTTTGTCCTCCATTATCAAATTTGGTAACCAAGTGGGGCCTGGAAACTGCATGCTTGGCTTTCAGTTCTATTTATCGAGTTCTTCCTGTGGGAATGTGGGAAATTCACTCTTCCACTCTTTCTCCATCTCCCATGGGATCTACTGAGATAATAATAGTCACAAGCGCATATTGAGGGCAAAGTCAGCCCATACATACCAAATGCTTTAGAAATATAAAGGAGGATGGGTCATCATTTTTAACAGAAGTAGTAGCTTATTCAACTGCTGTAGTCTGCAGTTCTACAAATGCAAAGCAATCACTGCTTAGCAGGAATGGTGGCCTTGACGTCAGAAATACTAACTATGGAAAAAATATTCTCCAGAATTTCTATAGGTACTTTTTGCCACATAAAAAGTGAACCCTAAAAATAAGAAAAATAAAATCTGTATCTGTAAGATTTAGAAGTACCTGACACTGGAGGTCCTGAATAAGGACTATCAGAAGGCATGGTAAGATGACACACTTATATGTTCCTTAACACCTTTTACATTGTTTTTTGCTCTTTGCTCAGTTACATGTGCCAGATTTTATCAAAGAAATGCATAAGATTGTAAATAAACAAGCTGGGCACACTTTGGAGCTGTTAAAACCAAGATCCTGCTCCTGGAGGTGCATCTTTGCTTGTGCTTAGGGAAAGGGAAGAAGAAAATGAGAAGCACAGTAATGTTTTCGTGCTCTATCCTCCCAGCTTCTAATCTGTGGTTTAGGGTTTTCCTGAGCTGGAAAGACTGGAAAGTTCCTGATGGAGTCATCTTCATGAACTCATCACTCGTGGAGCTATTTGTATCCTTCCTCTTTATGAAATCCACAGCGAGGACTGAGCACTGTACAAAGAATTTTCTTCTGCAGATCCAGTCCAGATTCTGAAAGTCAAACTCTGTTCTCCCTAAAATCCAGCCAGGTGCTTGGTCAGCTTTTCGCTTTGGCTTTGGCTTTGGCTTGGCAAGTGTAACTGAGTGGAAACTCCTCCTGTAAATACAGACTTGAATTCACACGTGCCACTTCAGCAGTGTGACCACTCAGAGGCTTGAAGATGATCATGGAGGGATGTGGCATGGCCCTTCTGCTGAGTGCAGGGAGGTGTACATGGTAAAAATGGAGCTTACTCTCCCAGCCAGGCTATGTGCTACAGGGCTAGTCAGAACTCAAAGCAATTAAACACATTTTTGGTTGCTAAAACAAGCTACTTCGACACTGAACTCCTCTGGGAGATAAATTGTGAAGATTAGAAAGGATTTGTGCTTCTCTTCCCAGGCTGAACTTCACTGTCTTGATTGCTCCACTTTAACCTATTTTCATTTTGCTTATTTTCATTTCTTTGTGGATGTTTTATGTTGTCTGGGGGCTTTTTTTTCTGTGGTTTTTTGTTTGTTTACTTGCTTTTTTCTAGACCAACAGATGCTGAGCTCTAATCCAGAAATCTACAGCTGCTCCCTCCCTGATACCTTCCAAGCCGATCTCCCAAACCTTCAAAAGCTTTGTGCAGGCTCCAGGCTGCCCTCAGGCCCCCTGCGCCGCCTCTCCAAGCTGCAGTCAGCACGTGGGGAAGCCTTTCTCCACTTTGCAAAGTCTAATTCTTTTGTGGATGGTAAGTGAAAGTGCTGTTATCTATCATGTGCTCAAGCAAGCAGTGGGCAGTCAGTATATCCTTTGACAGTATTTTCTTTGAGGGGAAGAAAAGAATTTCAGCTTCAGAAATGAATTAGCAGAGCAGGGAATGGTCTTCTGTCATTCTGTCAGCCCCACAAAGTGAAAAGCTATCTCGTCTCTCAAATGTTTTACAATGCACATTAGTGGGGTTGTCAGAAATTTTCTATCCTGATATTCAACTGTAGCAGCAAAGAACAAAAATTAGGTTTGAATAATCTGCTTTTTTTTGTTATGAAGAACTGAGGTTTTTTGTTATTTTTTTTCCTTTATTTCCTATTGATTATTTCTAACAAGTTTTCCAGTGAAAGAAGGGAAAACAAGAATGAATTCGGGAAATAAAATCAGGGCAGGATGGGGGTAAAATCTCTTCTGGTTCACTTCAGGCATTGGAGAGAAGTTAGCCCAGTTTAAGTGATCCTTTTGATTCCTTCTTAAATGAAGGAAAATGATGGGCTGACTCCCATCCTCTGCTTTCCCACAGATATCTACGTGGCCTGGGTGGCTCAGGAGCTGAAGACTGATTTGTTGGCTGAATCCTGGCAGCACTCTGGCCAAAAGCTTCCCTCAAACTGCTCTCTCCAGTACTATGTCTACAACGTAAATCTCATAGGGACGCCACTGAATTCCACCTTCCATTCGATCCAGGATCACTCCAAATGGTCTGTTTCAATGAAGGATGAAGTTCAGTGGACCTGCATTGGAGACCTAAACCGTGCTGTTGAGCAAGCTTGGAGGAGTGGTGGGTTCATCTGTACACAGAACAAACACATCTACAATGCTTTTAGACATTTGGTGATCCACTACGAAAGTTGCAATTATGCTTCCACGTGGATATAAATAGACTGTTCCTCCCAAACAGCATAGCCCCTCGTTACATAAAATGTGTGGGAAATATCTCCCTTAAATTATATTTTCTCTCTGGAAAAAAAAAAATGGCCCTGTGAGTTACCAAATGCGCTAGACTTTCACTTCATTAGCTACAAAAGCAGGCATTTTATGGGTAAAACATGGCTGTTTTTTCCCTGCACTGTGACACTGAAGCAAAGCATGCTGCTGCCAGCAGTGCTTCACAGGGGACGTCAGTGAGAAATGCTGGACAGGGGATGTGAGGAAAAATGAAAACTTGCTGTGCTATGTAGGCTGTCTGGGATGGGCTGTTGACAGGAGAAAAGTACCCCAAAATGCTTCAAAATCACCGCCTGTTCCAGGTTCTGTTGAGATCAGATCATGGCTGCTGAGGCTGGGCTGAATTTCTTAAAAGTCAGGCGTAATTGGATGCAGACAGGAAGACAAGTAGTCTGGGGACAAGAAGGCTTCATTTTTATGATTAATTTTTGGAGAAGAAATCAGCTTTGAATCATTTGTTACCAACAGCTTGGGAATGTTTCTAGTGCTTTTATTCATGTGCAGCAATCATATAAACCAATAAACACGTCCAAAAAATGAATGAATAAAATAAATTAAGAGAGAAGATGTTCTTTTTATGGTCTCTCTCTTCCATCTATAGCTATTTGTGATTGGTTATACGGTTTTATAGCTGCCAAAGGAAAAATTGAGAAAATTAGGGGGAAAAAAAGAGAGAGAAGAAAATATTTGAACATGTTATTTCATCTACATTTTCACACTGCAGATTATGTGGCTGTTAATTTTTGATACCTCTGTTCTCAGGCCTAGCATTTGAAGTTTGCATAGATTTGCTATAAAGACAAAGCAAACTTGCAAACTTGCAGTAGCATTTTTTGAATCAATTTTTAATATGTTCTTAGGTACATTTATAGGATTATATCTCACTTTTTTTTTTTTTTTTCCTGAATTGCTATAAACTTATGTTTGAAGGTTTGCCTGCCCTGCTAATATTTCTGTTTTGCTGTGTTTGTAGTCCATACCCCTGACTGTATACAAGTGTCAAATAGCTATCAAGAAGTACTCTATGACCACAAGAATTTACTGAAGACTTCCTTCCCTTTCCATCCTGAAAAAATCAATCAATCAACAAAGTGTTCAAAGTACCAAATAAATGAATGTCATATCACATTTGAGTGTACTTCTTGAAGAAATAAAACTACTGTATCTGGCCTGGTTAATGGGAGAACTGTGCAAAACTGGATTGTATGTTTAGTCAACCTGGGTTGAAGATAAAGCTGACTCTCATAGCTCAATGAAAATAATGTAAATAGTTTAGATGTTTTGCACGAAATGGACTTTTTTCTTTATCTCTACATATGAGCAAAAAGTTTTACAAATAATGTTAAGTAACGTTTTTCCTCTGAAGCTTGTCAAATTATTTTATGTGCATGCTTTCCATTGTTTCACCAGCTGTGGTCAAGTAATAACTATTTGTGGCTGTGAAAATTGCCTGTTAGACAGCAGTGAGTGCTGGGACAGTAGGGTTTGGCTTCGATAAGCCAAGATAAAATTTGTCTTGTCCATTTTTTCATGGCAGACACTGACCCAACTGGCCTGACCTCTTGCATCTTACCCACAGCATCACATGTTCGTGTACAGGACACGTACTGGAACAACAAGGAGACCTTCACTGGAATCAGCTCAGGTGAGGTGCTCCATGGTACACCAGAGGGCTCTGGGATCTGCTCCACCACCTGTATTTCCTATGGGAGATGCTCAGCCACAATGTTTAACTCACAGAGCTCAACAGCATGGAGTCTTCATCCCAATGCTGACACAGTGGTGTGTCACAGTCCTGCTCCCCAGACCTGTCCCTTGACTGTAAGTGCTAATTGGTATCCTTAATTATTTGTTCGATTGGTAGATATCATAGAGCCAAGACTGTTCACAGCATTTCTCTTCCAGTGTGCTCCAGATTGATTGCCTCCCTGTCAGCATCTACTAAAGAGGCGTAAACAGTAGTGGGAAGATGGAAAGAAGCCCTGTACCCTACACTGCCTAAGTAGGTTGGGCACACACTAATTTCAGTGGTGTAGCAATAAAAAGGCTGCAGTTCTGGTTCTTATTTTTTCTGTCTGTAAACAGTTTTAACGTAGTTTTCCTTTCATTGCATAATGTCCGTATTTGCATATCTCCCAGTATTTCCATTACGCACATTATGAAACATGGGTAGATGCTCTTTTTCCCAAAACAGACCTGTGATAGCAGTCTGAACTTCTGGATTTTTGAATGGCCTGTATCTGTCAGGCCAGCCGTGTGACATCAGGGCCACATCCCCTTGCTCAAACCTACATGCCGTCGTAGCACACGCTGTCGCTGGTGTGAAGTATTTTTGCATATTTTTACAAGAGTTTAATTTAAAAGGTGCTATTCTTTATCAAAACGTCAAACACTTCACAGCTTTACCTGCTGAGCCCTCTGTGCCCGTGGAGGAGAGCATGCAGCACAGCCCCTGGGAAGGGACCTGGTGAGCCACACTGCAGCTGCAGAAGGGCAGAAGAGATGGATACAGCATGGAGAGAGCAGAAGGCTCTTCTCCTTCTGGAATCCCCATGTCTCATCCCCTTGTTGCACAGGTATGGTTATTCTGACCCTTGGGCTCCGTTCTGGTTAGACTAAATGAGAATATTATGCATGAAAACTTTTATGCATGAGAGGCCAAAACTCACATTATTAATCCACTAAACCTTGCTGTAAGACAGGGGAGTTTGCAACAACCACAACAGCAGATATAATTATTGAGTAGGAATGGCCTTCTAATTACTTAGACAAGATGAGGCCCTGTACCAGCAGCCCCACAAGTGCTCCAGTGACAGGAAATGCAAACATGGCCTCTTGCAATGCCTGCCTCGGCCTTCCCCACCCACCCACCACTCTCACATGTCCCCATCACCACAGGAAACCAAGCCCGATGGGTTTTACTGTCTGCCCCTCAGGATTCTCCTGCAACACCAGCGGCTGGGAAGCCCTCAGGTAGTGGCTTGCTGAGCAATTTTATACAGATGTAAAGGGAAGAGGCCATCTAAAGGATGAGATGACAGGCTTACTAAGACAAAAGCTAAAATACTGGGAAGGTGTTAAAACCTAACCTGTGTGAAGTTTCATTCCAGCTGGGCAGTTACTCCACTGGAAAGCAGGCAGAGGCATCCAGCCAGAGGCCATTTCACAGGGCGTCTTTATGGAGGCATTTCTCCAGGTGTCTCCACAAGGACTTAAAACACCTTGAAGCCTAGCAATGGGAGCCATCCCTTCCACCAGTGTGCTGGGGATCTTCTCAAGGACCTTATGTTTGATGTCAGCTGCCTGCCAGCCAGCAAAGGGAACATTTGGGAGAAATTGCTCTGACCTAGCTGGGAACCTTCCCTTCTTCAAGGCATGCTAATGAAGCCTGACACTGGACTTGTCATAAAGGCCTGCAGGTCTATTTCTGAAACACAGCAAAGTCAGCTTCAAAGTTGGCTAGACTAGTTTTTAGAAGTACCAAAGTCTGCAAAGCTGTGGATGTTTTGTCCATCCAACTGCCAGCAATGCCCCTTCTTTCAGTTGTAACCCATGCCTCTCCCACTTGTGCAGTGGCTCATGACAGTATTTCACCAGCAGTTTGCTGTTTGCACCTTTCTGCTCTCGAAACAAGAAGTTTCCAGCAAATGCCTCTAAACATCAGTTCTTACATTGAACAGTGTCTTCTTGGCATGCCTGCAGTGTTAAGAGAATGGGCTATTTTTGAGAAGACATACGGGTTGCTCGTCCCTCTCTTCTGTTCAAGTATATGCCCTCCTGACAGTCCTGAAATGCTAAAGAAGACCATTCTTTTTTTTAATGTATCAAAGCATCTTCTGCATTATTAGCGTGGTCACATAATTATCCCCAGAGAAACTTACACCCATACATTAACACCCATAAATTATTGTGTAGATGTCTTTTATACCTTCATTTTCAGCTTCTGGGAAAGATACATCATTGGATACTTAGCACAGTAATTGCTTTCAAACATGTAAGCTGCCTATGCCTTGGGTAAAATGTTCAGGAGGCAGAGATGTGCTGGCAGGGTCTGCTACAACCTCAGTGCAAGCCAAAGCCTAACTGTGCTCAGAATGTGATGCAAGAATATGATGCACTTTTCATATTACACAAGAGATTTAAAAACAAAAAAAAAAAACCAACAAATTTAAAGATGAGAATGTAAAGGAAATGAATTTGCATTAGGCAAAGCACAGGAATACATTCTCCATAGTGTGGGGCAGAGAGCCAGATCTCAGATTTCAAGCTAGGGTATCAGTCTTTGATAGCCTGATACCCTGAACATATATGAACATATATATGAACAATAACTGTATCTGACACTTTCCTATTCGATCAGATATACCAGATTAAAAGCCTGCTCTGTTGAATATTCTCAGAATTCTTCAGCAGTAAAAGCTGCTGCGAGTGGCATCTGAAGCCACTGTCTTTCAGATTTTGGCATCAGGAGGTAGTTTGTAATACAATTTTTTAATGCTTACTTACTGTTTTTAAATTATTTGTTCCAGTATTATATGCATATTTGATAATTTAATTTTACTCAAATTGTTAAGTACAAAACATTAGGATTTGAAATATATACATTGATTCTTAAGCAACTGTTACATTTTTATTCGAATAAATCCCCTTGATTTTATTTTTTTCAGTTGAGTTCAAGTATCATTTTTACATGAGGTAATTGGTGGCCATTCTGCATCATCTGCAAATCAGGTAAAAGCGAGGAACATCTTTCCCCTCCTTTCACCATTTTGCAGCCTAAGAGCTGCAAGCTAAAAATTAAATATTCAAAACTTTACCAGAGCAGGACAGAGTGTTCAGTGTGACCTGCTGGAGTGCTCGTGGTTGCTGCAAGCAGTTCACTGTAGTACACTTGTCCTAGCATTGCATAATTTATTAATCATAGAAATTGTGCATGCAAATCAGCCACACTGTTGTGCTTCATCATATGCTAACTAGTATATTTGTTTTTACGTGCATTAAAGCCCTCAGATAATAAAGTCTCATTATAGCAGTGCACCTTTTCTCTGTCGCCTTCTGAAACCTGTCAATTGTTTGCTAAAAGCCACGTCTGTTGAGCATGCTGGGGTTTTGCCATTGTTCCTATACTTCTGACTCCCCAAAGTGTGGCAGTATTTAGCTCCAGGGCTTTTTCTGTGTCTCGATTTTTACAGGTTTCCTTCTTAGGCTAAGGTTCTGTCAGCCAGAAATCAAGATTTCTGTAGTGCAATTTTAAAACTGTATTCTTGCACCTGTGTGTTTATGCTCAACAGCACTGCCCACCCATTCACGCACAGGATTAAGAACACCAACTCAGTGCATGTTTCAGAAACTGTTTGCTTCCTTCCCCTAGCAGCTGCTCCATTGCTTATACTGATCTTGTAATCCTTCCTGGGCATTGCACAAATGAAATCTGCGTCTTTTCTTCTCTTGCTTTCTATCTACTCTAATTAGTTTTTTGCATGAAAGTAAGATTTTCAAGGGGAGAGCAAGAGACCTAACTATTTTGCATGAGATATTTTGTGAGGAAAAAGCATAGAAGAAATGTTGTGCAACAAAGACAGACTATTGCTGTAGTTTTGTTCCCTACTGCCCAGGAACCTGCCCTCCTCTTTTCTGCCAAATAACATGGAGTACCAGAGAAATCAGAATGAGAGAACTCAGAGGAAAACTCAGAAGAGTGAAGAGGACAACAGAAGGTGAGCCAAGAGAGGAGCAGAAGTAACATTAGGGTGGCAGACATCAGTGGAGGCCAGAGACCTTGATTTCAATCACAGCAAGCCATTAAGAGTTAATCATGCAGAAATACAGTCAACTGTCTGTTTCACTTACTGTGATAGCTGCTGAGTATTTATCTGTTTAACAGGTATAACCTCCACAGGCTGAGCCACAGAGAGAAAAAAAATGAGAAGCACACACTGAAGTGACTTAGCCAAGTATTAAAAACCAAACAAATCCTATCACCTGGAGAGGAAGCAGCTCCCTGTTTGTTACCAAACTTCCAAGAGGTGGGGTGAGGCAAAATCAAAAGCATTACATATATAAAAGTGGGAGGGAGCAATTTACAAGCCAACCTAAATAGTTTGAACAATGTATTTGAATAACGTGCTACTTTTTTCTTTCTTTTTTAAAAAAGGAAGCTACAATTAAGATTTAAAAACCAATAAAAACGCAGTGAAGATGGAGGTGCAGAACATTTACAAGATTAACTGCAGACCGTTTCATTATGGAGTGTGACACTATAACTTAATTCATTCTCATGGAATTCAGATAACTGCAGGCAAAAAAGGTAAATACAAATACAAAAGAGCATAAACTGTGGTAAGCAAACTGATGCCTTTAACACTTTGCTCTTGGCATTGTTATTGCAGAATTTGTAATAAATTTTGGCCTTTTATTCTCACAGAAAAATTAAAGCTCTTTAGGAATTTCCCCAGTTTTGTACATTCTTTGGTTCTATCTCTTCCTACATCCTGATGCAACTTCATTCTCTAGCACTAACCAAGCCACCAGTACTTGGCCCTGCAAAAGTCAAAGCCAGCAGGCATTACTTACTGTCACTTGGCTCATTGTGGCCCACTGCTTGGTAGCCTCCCAGTCTTGGATTCCACAGAGGAATAATGGTAGTGCAGAAGCTGAAGCTCTTTAAAAAGTGTCCTCGTAATGTCAGAGGAGGAGCTAGGCGTAAGGGGTTGGCTTCATAAATGCAAATATTTCATAATTTATTTAGTAATGTGGCTTTTTTTTTTCCCCCTAGGCAAAAGCTTTAATAAAGGAATAGTTCTACTGCAACAAAGGAAATGAGCAAGAAGAGAGATGAGGACACATCCTAAGTCCACTAATGGCGGTGGGAATTTGCCTTCATCTTCAGTGGGAACATATTTTCAAAGACATGGGAATCATCCATACAAACGGGAGGATAAAATCTGAACCTTCCGTGGTCTATGACACAAACCAGAAGATGGCCCCGGCACAGTGGAAACGTGCCCAGCAGGAGTTTCACAGCCAGGCTTGACCACAGTCCTATGTGGGGTGCCGGCTGCTGGGATGCACGTCATCACAGCCGCAGGCACAGGCAGTGTCTGTGGTAGAGCCCTCCCTGAGGCCGGGCCAGGCAGGAACCAGGCAGAGATGCATCCCTCTGGTGAACACTGACCCTCTTGCTGATTATGGGTTTACCTTCAATGCCCTACATTTGGGAAGAGGAGCAGCGTGGACAGCAGGAATCTTCCCCAGGGAGATTCAAAATCTTCTTCAAGGGCCAAGAACTCTTCCTGGGTACATGCTGCCTGCTGAATGGCGCAAAAAGCCAAAGCAGGAAAGTCCAGATGAAGGAACCTCATGATCTCAAGCACCTTTTCTTTTGGTACTGGCACTACACAGCAAAGTAGACATTAAAATAACAGAGTTGCCACTCTTCTGCTAGCAGAAGCATTCATCTCCCTCTCATCCCTTTGATCTACTCCTTCTTCCACTCCCAGGATTGCGCTACGTCAACTCTCTGTGTGATAGTGTGCACACCAGGACCTTGTTGTACTCTTGAAGAGTGAGTTCATTTGCCCCATGAACACATGGCCTCTGTGTTCTGTTTGAGCTCTTTAAGAAAAAATCCTCCATTATCCTTGATTATCGGTCACCAAAATATGTCTGATAGGATAGACCCTTCCAAATAACCAAATTGTGCAGAAAAAATTTCAGAAAAATGTTCTATGGGAGTATGCCCCCTAAGGAAGAAGGCTTCTTCGTAACAACTTATAAAGTTATGTTCCTTATTGGATCTGTGCTGCCAGTTCATTGCAGTTCTCATAAAGAAAAAAATCACAAGTATTTTCTCAAGAACCTCTTTAAAAGAAATATATTTACCATGTGCTGTGTTCTACATGGCATTGATATTCAGTCCCTAGGGATAAAGATGTCTATGAGCAACCTTTAAGAGAGTCACAGATACGACTAAACAGTGCATGTTCATGTATATTTTCTAGATATTACATTTCTTAAGGAAGCCCATGCCTCTATTGGAAAACTGAAAGAAATTTCAAAAGCTGTGACTTCTTTGCAAGTCAGAATTTTATTCCTATATTGTATGTCAAAATATCAATTTTTATTTGATTTTTTGAGAGCTTTGCCAAAGATTCTTCAGGAACTGTAAGACAACTTACAGTTTCAATTCTTTTTTTTTTTTTTTCCCCCCAAGAAAATGCAGTATTTCTTTAATACTGAACTCTATTGGTTTCCAGTGCCCTTACTTTTAACTATCACCTTGTATAAAATCAGTGTAAGAAATGAGAAATGAAGCATGTGGTTTAACTGCTTTTAAATTCATGAGTAGTGCTACTACGTTTTGTGGGATTAGTTTGATAGTCCAAGTAAAATGACTGTCAGCTAGACAGATAGTGCAATAAAGGTGAAACACACTATTGCTGATAAGAAAGTAATCTTTATTTCATGGTCCCAGACTTCTAGCATATGAGCACAGTACTTTGTGGGATTGAGTGGCACTCACCAACATAACACTGCTGAGCACAAACAACTTGATTAGATTAGTTAGACCAATGTGGTAGAGGCAAAGTGGAACTGAGCAGCTTTGTGGCCCTGATCAGGTATAATATAAGTGCAGTTTTCTCTCTATATGAGGAAATTTCATGTATTAGGGCTAACAGCATTTGGAGCAAGTCCACTGTAATTTCAGCGTAGCATCGGATGAAGCATGACAATAAATTCAGCAAAGTAAAAAACTGGGAGAGTTAAACTCTTGACAAATTTACAAAAGCACTGCACAAATTCTGTGTGTACTTGTGCAAGGTATTGAGCAGAAAAGAAATATGTTTATTCTAAGAGGATACAGGTGTGGCTATTACTACTGTGTACCGAAGATATTTTTTAAAAAATGAATCCTGTTGATGCTATTTGTTTGAAGCAATAATTAGACTGGCATCAAGTTTGAATGATAACTCCTGCTGTCTTCACACAGATTTTCTAAGTTTGTGAGACCAGTTCTCAGGAGCTCTTTAGCAAAGTTCTTATGTTGCCAGCATCATTCCCTCAGAAGAAACTGGTAAAAAGGTGAGTCCTGGTTTTCAGTACCTTCTACAGATTGGTCTTCAAAAGTGAAAGTCAGCTTTTTTAAAAGTGATCTTTCATAATTACGGTTGAAAATGATGTGTTTGCCAAGTGCTGAACAGCCTTGAAAACTGGATCTGATGTGCTCAAGGTAAAAATAAAGGTTTAAGCCTGTAATATATTTCACACTTAGAAACCTTTTGCGTATACTCAGAATTGGAACTTATATTTTCCTTTTTAAAGAAAGAATAAGTGATACTTCTTTCATTATTGATACAGTTTTGTAACTTAGTGTTTTGAATTATCTATTTCAGATTTTCTCAGGAGAAAGTTGTCTCTGCAGATGCCCCAGACTCTGCCAAATGATTGGCTTTCTATCCAGTTCAGTCATTTACTTCTGTTACATGTTTTAGACATCCATTTTTCCATCTTAAAACATCCAAGATTGTCCATCTTTACACATCCATTATTCCATCTGAACTTCAATTCCATGTTTTTTCGTCTGCAGGCTTATAAAAAAAAAAAACAAACACACACACTTGGACTGGAAGGAAAGCACATGTATCAGAACAGACTTTTGGATTTGTTTTACTTCGAACACACACAGCATCATGTCCCCAGTGGCTTAATACCGAAGAGCACTTTAGAAAGTCATTTGTATGGACTTATGAACATGCCTCATATAAAAAGAAAGGTACAACTGAAGAGCTCTAATACTGTAAAGAAATCCACTTAAAAGTGAAGAAATACAGGAATGTCTTTAATCACCCACTGGATAGTCCTTCATTTACTGTACAAGATCTTCAGCATTCTCGGATAATGGATAGGAGCGTTTTGCTGGTTTTTAATTCTTTTTATTAAATGTATAGTCTTCTGTTCTACTTATTCCTCATTAGCCAGCTCCTTCCCAGGAACTAACTCCATCCTGGAGGTTGACATGTTTAGCATCCGTGAAGCATTATGGTTCTCACATTTGGTCTAGGATTACCCTGGCTTTATGTGAAGGTTTTACCAAGCAGCAAAGCTTTTCTTAAAAACCAATGAAATGCTTTTTTACTCTAAGTACATCATTTGGTTTCAGCCAGGCAGTTTCATGATAGTAGTATAACAGAGTGTCTTTTCAGAATCCCAGTAGGTGGAAGCTTGGTTTGAGAACACACTGGGACATTTGGTAGCACTGATATTTTACGTCTCAACTGTTAACAATTCTTGAAAGTATAAGAAGTATTTAAAGGCCAGGTGGTTCAGGAAGCTGGCGGTGGATTACAAGGCAGCAAAATGTGGGATAACAAAAAAGGTAAAGAGAGTTGTCTGCTGCAGCTTGCCTTTTGAAACAGGACAGATGGGAACAACTCATGCACACAAACATGGTGAGGACAGCACAGAGCGGTGGAGTGCCTGCCCCTTCCTAAAACAGGATCATACCTAAGGAAACAGCCTAGGGGTGAGGACGCAGGATTGACATCTTGCCTGAAACAACAGGATTATCTTGTTTCATCTCTGCCATCAGGCATAAGGAATGAAAGATCCTGAGCCCGAAGGACAGCAAATAATTGCTCCCCAGACAAGATGGACTGCTTCCTCAAGAGGTGTTGTAAAGGAAAAGTTTCTCTCCATTCAGTGCAGTGACGTTCGTCCTTGTCAGGATGACAGTCTGTTCCCAGGACCACCAAGCAAAAACACAGCTGAATGAACAGGTAAGAAAAGAATTGCAAATATCGGTGCCAGCCTGGATTTTTATACATGCAGTCTGATAAGTTGTATATTTTGTTGTAAAATAATCAAGCAGAATGATGTGCTAAAAACCCTCAACAGAGATCTGTGATGCGATTACATTCACCTGAGCACTATATTCTAGTTAAGTTTTTAAAAAGTGGAAGAGAACTTGGTCTTCAAACAGCTGTGTTGGATCCTCCATTTTTCAGTGATTGTGGTTGGCATCATATCAACAATATCAGCCCTGCAGGTTGTGTAACAAGATAATGATACAAGTCTTAGGGTTGAAAGTGGAGGTGCTGGTAGGATGACAACATCCCACCACCCACATACAGTAAGAAATAATTGGGATTAGGTGAGGCTGCAGTCAGACATGAAAATTAAAAATATTATTTATTAACAACCGAAAGAACAAATTAAACTAGATTTAAACTATTTAATTAGATTAAATTAAAAAGTCTGAAGTGATTTCTATGATCTTCTAGTCTGACTTCTTGTATAATAGAAAGCTGATTGTCCTGAATTAGCTCCTTTTTGGACTGGATTGCATCATTTAAAAGAGAAAACATCAGATCTCGATATAAAAATTAGCATAAAAGCTACAATAATGCTGGGTAACTCTCTCAGTGGTCAGTTATGGTAAACTGTAAGTTAAGATTGTTGTTCTTGGATCTCTGTCTGCTAGATTGAAGCTATGTATTTTCAGAGGCATGTAAGAGCCCTCGTTAACTTTCTCTTTGATAAACTCAATGAACAGAAATCTTTGAACCGTACTTCAGGAGCGTATGCTAATCCTTTAATCATGTTTCATGTTTGTTGTATAAAATCTTACAGATTTTTCATTATTCTTTTTGACTTGAGAACACAGATCCCAAGTATGTTTTTCATCAGTGGCAGATGCAGAGGATATATAAACCTCCCTACTGTTTCTCAATATTTTCTTGCTTAGGCAATCGAGAGTTAGATTCTCTGTTTTAGTCAGTGTACCAGAGAAGTAGCTGTTATGGACCATTACAATCTCCAGCTCCTTTTCTCTGACTGCTTCCCAGGAGAGCACTCCATGTGAGATTCGCTGTAGTCTTGTTCTTCTTTCTAGATTTAGTCTAATTTATCTTTGTAAGGCGCATAAGAAAAGAGAGAAAAGACAAGAAAAGACAAGAAAAGAAGAAGAAAGAAAAGCTTTCACACTTTTTTTCTAGAAAAATAAGGCAGAAGGGGACTGCTCGGAGGTTATTATTATGAAATATATGTGAAAAAGGAAACTGAGGACAGAATGGGACTTCTGAGTCCCATATTGGCACAAGCAGTACGTTTGAAACTGAATTGCAGAGACCATGCCTAGATGCTTTACCAGCTGATGGATACAATTCTGGTATCAGACAGAATGTTGTAATTACATTTCAGGTGCATTTAAAACTAATGTTATTCTGCTGGTGAAATAAATGAATAGGAATCAACCATTAAGCCTTCTCCTATCAAAGCGAACCATGTTGTATTTTCTCTTCATTAATAATTGCACACAACCCTAGAAGATAAAAGTAAAGCCATTGGAATTATAGAAGAAGGAAAATATTATCTTAGCTAATGCATCCTTGTCATCTTGTACAGCAGCTTTGACTGAAATGGTGTTTTTTTTATTCTGCCCTCCATCTCTGACATGAATAGCCACACACCTCAGCATCAGTCTGTGCATGCTGGATAGAGCAACAAACTTGCTGAACCACGTCCAAGTGAAGGAACAACTGTAATAAGAAGTGTAACTTAAAACCAGATTTCAGAATGACTTTTGTTTCTTTGTTCAATCAAATCTTATGCATTAGTCAGGATTAGATCTGACAAGCTTCTTCTGTAAAATGTTATAAAACAGGCTGAAATCTAGGCCAGGGCTAGGGGCATTCCTGGGAAGCTCGCTGGATTTCCTGGAGGGCAAGGTGTGGTTCTGTAAGTAGGAGGTTAACGCCAGTGATTTTCTGTTACTAGTAATTATGTGCAGCTTGAGTTACATTAATAAGAGCTACATATGCATACTGGAAAAAAAGAGTTTATCTGACACTGAGATTATTACATGTTTCTAGTTAACAATGTTCATTACCTTTGTTATTTTGTGATTAGCACTTATAAATGCCCAAAACCATGTTCATTTTTTACCAACACCTAAGAAAAAATGTTCTGTCATTGAGAGTTTAAAACAGAGGGATATCTCCTGATATATATTCCACCAGTCTTTTTAATATTTTAGAACTAATTGTCCTTGCCTTGTTGTAACTCAACTCAGTCATTTTGCTTTTTGTTACAATTCCTGCCAAGTATAGATATATGCTTCCCAGAAAGTTATCCTGAGGTGAAAACCCAACATGGAAATATCAATCTTAAGAGATTTCATAAACTGATAAAGAAAGGAAGCAGAATCTTATCATAGGAGAAGGGCTGGGCAGCCTTAAATAAAAGTGACTCTACCTTTCTAGTGAATAGTCACCAAAATTGAGCAATAAAAGGGGAAAAGAAGAAATGACATTGTAGTCTAGCTAGAAATGTCTTTTAGCCTGATTTCATTAAAAACCCATTCACTGCAGCCTCTATCAAGTACTGTTTGAATACTATGATAGATATTCTAAAATTATAGTAGTTTTTTAAAGTATTTTTGTTCGTTTGTTTGTTTCTTTTTCTGCTCCACTGTGAGGTTTCGCAGTGTTATAGGCTTTTCATGGCACCGCAGCCCCGAAGGAAGCACTGATTCTCCAGCCTGACCTTTTGCCCACTGTGGGTGATAGAACTGACCAAGTGACTGCTGCGTAATTTCTGAGGGACCTACAATACTTCCTTTGGAAAAAAATTCACCTTCTCTGTTTAAAGATTTCACATGACAGCAACACTTCACAAGCCTTTTTTAAACCAGAAATGTCTCTTATCTCAGCTTTCAAAAACTGCATCTTTTAAAAGGTTTGTCTGCTAAACTGAAGATTGCTATGGTGACAACTATTCTCCTTACTGAGGTGATTTCACATTCTTTAGCTCTTGTGTGATTCAGTGATGGGCTAGAGATAAGGGTTTTAAAGTCTCTTCAGTAAGGGCAGTTTCTAGGTATGTCTGTTTAGCCACTTCCTGTTTGCCAGCCTTTGCACAGATAGCAGACCAAGACGTACTGTTCCACCAGTAGAATCCTTACTTAGTACATACATGGTGCTCCCCACGTTTGTACACCCAAGGACTGCATTTCTGTGTGCTCTTAAATGCCTGTCTGTATTGCTACTCTTCATATCACAGTCCTCCATCAGATAACTGATCTAC